AGCTATACTTTTATCATTATAAATAAATTAATAAATGTTAACGATTTTTTTTTCTTGGTAAAAAATTGACTAAGATAAAAAGTTTAACTTTTTGGTTTCCAATTAAATTAATTGACAGTAACAATCGTTTATTGGTTTCTATAATAAGTAGGTACATTACCTAATAATATATAATAATGTATACTGTATTTTATAGGTAATAATAAATTATTGTTGTTCACAATACAATAAGAAGTTAAAACGAGCGTGTACAATAAAAATAACAGTAGATTTTTATTGTGACAAAAAATAGATAATGAACCGAATAGCTTACAGCATTGAGTATATATTGTATACATTGAATATATACTCAATACTTAAAAGTTACAGGCAGTATAAAAACCCTAATTAATCCGAATTAAGCAGCGTTATGAAATATGATTTTTCAAAAAAAAATTTGGCGGAAATCGGACGAGTCCATTGGTGTGGTTTATTTTTAATGTAAGAGTACTTGTATAAGAAATATTTTTATATTGTTTTTAAAAATAATAAAAAAATCTTTGTTGTCTGAGCTAACCTGTTTAGATTAATTGTTTTAATATGTTTGCCAGTTCACAATAATATTATGAGTTAAAATGTTTATTGTTTTTAAATGTATGAAACATACCTTGTTGCTTTTTCCTGGCCTTGTCGCATATGGCTGGTCTTAGGTGGACTGTATCGCCATTTGGTAGTACGCACCTTCTAGAACACAGGAGAATACCTAGACAAGATTTCTTCAAGATGTGCACATTATGGTTGTTTGTATTCCTCATTGCCCATCCAGAAGCGTGTCTCTTGGCCTCCTCACAATTCGACGGGTACACCAGGCGACAATGGCCATCAGCCCATTCTTCCCAGTGATTGAAACTGCTCACCTTTAAAATAATACAATATATTTTTAATATAGCTAAGCATTTGACTGTTATATATTCTTTCATAGAATGTTTTATTAATGTATATTTTGTTTTATACCTACACGCCATTTCCAGTTCCTTTATTTCAGTTAATATAGTTTTTTACTTTATATTATTTATTTTGATTAAAAAAAGAAAATTTGTAAAAGTCGGTACTGTCGCGATTATATTTAATTTATATCCGTGTATAAGCGTTATAATTGTGGATAGAATTTCTTATTAATTACATAAGTATATAGTTTAAATATTAAGCTAAATATAAAAAATATCCACCATCAAAACCCTCTAACCTCAGTCGTCATCTCGCATAAACCGAATCTTATAAATAACAAATACGAAACAAATTTAAGTTAAGAATTCGTGCCGCTGGGTAATCTTCTCAATTCAAAAACTTTTAATTATTGCATTTGTTGCATTAAAAAAATGCAGATTGTATAAATGTGTTAAGGATAGTAGAAAACATTTCAAAAATTATTAGTTTTATTGGAAAAACGGATGATGTATGTCGTAAGATAGCATATAAGATAATAATATATTTTTGTAAAAATAAGCTATCAGCCAAATTATTTTGCCTGAACTGAGAAAAATAATTATACATAAAAAATATACCTATTTTTTAAAAAATGTATCATACAAATTTGCTAAGATTTTCTTTTAGTAAGTTTTAACATACTAAACATGTATCCTTAGATTTTAAAATTTTTCCTAAAGCTCTACTTTTATCATTATAAATTAATTAATTAATGTTAACGATTTTTTTTTCTTGGTAAAAAATTGACTAAGATAAAAAGTTTAACTTTTTGGTTTCCAATTAAATTAATTGACAGTAACAATCGTTTATTGGTTTCTATAATAAGTAGGTACATTACCTAATAATATATAATAATGTATACTGTATTTTATAGGTAATAATAAATTATTGTTGTTCACAATACAATAAGAAGTTAAAACGAGCGTGTACAATAATAATAACAGTAGATTTTTATTGTGACAAAAAATAGATAATGAACCGAATAGCTTACAGCATTGAGTATATATTGTATACATTGAATATATACTCAATACTTAAAAGTTACAGGCAGTATAAAAACCCTAATTAATCCGAATTAAGCAGCGTTATGAAATATGATTATTAAAACGTATATAATATGGTACTTTACATTTGGTATAATTGAGTCGTTGATATCCCAGTCGGCGATGCGAGAAATAGATTCTGTCGGTGGTCGACCACGAGAGTAACTGTATTCATTACTCATACTATGATCATGGTATTCTTGTTTGCTAAACAAAAAATGTATTAATGTTCATTAGTTCATTGATAAAAATTAGTCGATTTAAACTAAATAATACAATTTTTGTTTCACAACAATTATAATAATCAGTGCTGCTGTAAATAATGCCCACTATTCTCAAAATTTGTTATAAAAATAATACAGGGTGATTTAATAAAGGATAAGACACTGATTTTCTCTTAAAATAATTGCAATTTTGTAGTTTTTCTTTTCTTTATGCTATTTTACAATAATATACAATTTTCGATTTTTTCTTTCTTAGTATTCTCCAGACATTGATTAACTTCTGAAACTATTGGTCACTTATACATATACATATACATTAAACTTTAAAAGTAATTATCTTAAGCTGGTGAACGACCAATCAAATTTGTATTGCAATTAATCTTAGTTTAAAATGTTAATTAAATATAGACGTTACCACTAAGTCTAAAAAGTTGTTTAAGCTCTGGGAAATACTAAAATATTAAGTTATTTTATAATATTGTAAAATAACACCAACAAAATTACAAAATAGCAACTTTTAAGAAAATTTTAAGTGGAAATGCGTATCTCATTTGAATCACTATAAAACATATAGAGTATCTACCGATACGTTAAAAAATTTTAAAATATTTTTTATGATAACCCAACCATTGACTATTGAGACAATGATATAGGTTTTTAATTGGTTAGTTTTACGGAAGTTTTAGTATAAAATATTAAATGCGTTAAATTAGTCTACAAGCTGAATTTATATGAAAACTAATAGAAATGAATGACCTACAATTGTCCAACTAATAGAGATTGGTAGGCAATTGTTTTTTTCCTAGTCCCCGGTGAGTTTTACCGTTTATTTAAAAGTTATGTACATTTAATTCGTCGGTTTTTAGGAGTGTTTTAAGTGTAGATAGTAAGTAATACTATGTTACTATAAGAAGGACGACTATTCGAGTAATGTTAACTATTTAATACAAGCAGGTATATTTTTGGTTACGGATGTGCAGCACGTCTACTACATGTAACATCTACTAAAACGAAGTTATCAAAATCACAAAAATAAGTTTACGTAGGTACAGACAAGTGAACGGCCGACAATAGACGCCATAGACTATTACAACTATTATATATATATTACTAATAGTTAAAAAAAAGTTCCACATTTTTTATAGTTAAAATACAAATTGGGCATAAAATAATATGCTTTTATTAAGTTAAGCTCTAAGTGAAATTTGTATGCGTTTTACCTACTTTGGAATTTTGTATTTGATTTAAATAACCTTGATTACCTAACGATTATTATTTTTTGGATAAGCTTTTATATCAGTGCGCTCAACAGATCTTCCGCTATTACATAAACTTTAAAATGCTAATAAATACAAAAACCATAAATAAAAATGTCAAAACTAATTATTATGGATCAGTCAACATGTTTAGTCAATTTTTTTTGATTAATTGATAAACGTCAACAACATAAGTAATGCATGTTAACAATACTATTTATATTTTTAGAGTTTTGAGTTTTAATAATTATTACTTTAGTTTAGTGGACCACAAATTGTATTGATGTTTAACATCAGAATATAGGTAGCTACAATTAGTAATTCATAGCATTTCAGTTAAACTACTATTTTTAATTCTCTTTGAGTTCTTATTAAGCTACGAAAATATGTTCAAATGAGTTTAAATCCTTCAATTATAATTTATAATATATTATATTTACCCCTTCGTGTTGGGCCTGTCGAGACATCTCTTAATTGTGCCAGACTAGCGACGGTATATTTTATATACAATTAAAAGACACACACGACAAAATTTACGAGGAAATTATACCTACCTACCTCTATTTATTGTGAGGATTTGTAAAGACAATTTTTTCGGAAAATCTGAATTTAAAGCAATAATTGTGTGCATAATATATCACGAGAATTCTTTATTAGTAGTTATTTCTTTATTATATCGTTACAGCTTACATTGAAAACGTTTTTACTACATTTCTAATAAGGTAGAAAATATAACATAATATTTAGTTCCACAGAATGCATTTTACTCGGATCAAGTTAATTATAGAGAAAAAAACAAAACCGAGAGATTAATACATTTGTTCAAATCCTTTAATATATTCAATATTTGGTTTATTGTCAATGTTGTTTTTACTTGAATTCAAAATTTTGTCGTTTGGTCATGTTATTATAATGTATACATTTTATACTTACAACATAGCGACCATGTCGGAACACTTTTGACTGAATTCTCTTTTGCGTTCACTTTGTGTACAGCTACTATAACCGAAAGTTAGCTGGTAGGTTGTATATAGTAGTATAATACCTAGGCGGTACCTACACTAAACGGTAATAACGAAGAGTTTGATGAACGAGAAGATGAGAGAACGTGCGAGACGGACGAGCAACGACTGGGGTCGAGTAGCAAACAGTCACTGCCGGGCGCCGGCTGCTGGCTTGTTAGGCAGTCCTGTGCCGGCGGGTTCGCGTTGCCGGGGCCGACCTCGATCGACCAATGAGAAGTCAAGCCAAACCCACTGAAACGTTTACATTAAAAAAAAATTTAAAAAAAACCCCTCACAACGAGAAAAACGGTAGTCCTTCCGTTCCGCTATAATGTACAATATACCTATGTACTGTGTACATTACAACCGTACACATCATATTGTTATTACTTTAGTATGGTATATACCTATGATTGTGTACTATAACTGTTACTCTTATTGTCATCGCCGCCGGCAAACCGGTAACTGCGGTAACCCCTCCAAACGATTGCCCGCCCTCGCATTATTTACGACCCGAGTGTATCTGCTCTTATCTAAGTACCTAGGTATTCTATATGTTTAACGCTTATAATAATATAATCTTCCAAGACGTCGTGATATCATAAATAACGGGGATGTGCACTTATCATAGCTGGTATATTATAATAATACCTATACGTATAGGTACTGTGGGTAGCGATTATGAGTTCATACGGAAATCATTTTGGTAGGTAGGTACACATGTTTTCGTTGTCTTCTCGGTAGGTACTCAACCTTATTTAATGATTTATTAGTAATTAACTCGGATAATTATTTTACTGACTAAGCAATCAATTTATCTGATTTATCTGACTAAGTAATTAAACGATCAAATAGGGAATGTTGTTCATACCCCAAACGATAATCAATACCGCGATATTTTAATAATAAATTAGCATAATCATTACAATAATAAAATAACGGGTAAATTAAGAAGAGTTGGCATGATAATATATTAACTTTGGTGATGCTTACATTCGAAATTATGTTAATATACGTATAACTAACGCGTAGGTAGGTAGGTAGGTACATCAACTAATACACAAAATATAGTGTACCTATTATAATATAATTTCAAATCTCATAAAACTCACCAATTCAATTGTTTAAATTAATTAAAGTGATTATAATTATGGAAGAATAAAATTACAATACAAATTATATAAAACATTTATACTGAAATATGTTATAGTAATATAAACATTTATAGTAACCATATCGAATTGTCATCACATATAAGTCTTTAGATATAGTAAAATGGAATTTATAGATAACTAATACGATATTTATCGTCTTCCATCTCATCCCTTATATCTCACATTTGCATAACAAAATACGTAGAATTAAAAATAACTGTTGCGATATTTTAGTGCTTGCAATGCCCCAGTTATAGCCTATATTAAAATGTAGGTTATGAGCCTACGGGGTTGGTCTTCCAGGTAGGTAAGGTTCTCTCAAAAAAACTTTGGAGACTATGACGCCCACTACCGGGACAGAAGTAACTGTGCCACCGACTTTGGCTCCTTTCAACCCCCTTTAATCTAAAGCTGCACCAATATATTACCACTATAGATTGCGGTCTGTAGTTCTCGAAAATAAAAATTCAGTGTTTTATCCGCTAACAGTTATTCTACGGTTGAAACGGATATCTTTTATTTTTAAAGAAAATCTGATACCTTACGGTTATGAATACAGTTGTCTACCGGGTGACAATGTGGCGCCAAGGCGAGAACAACATCTTCCTGTGATCACCCGCATGTTGATTCTTATCGTTTCAGATTATGTAGACTGTCAAGTTGCTTTATAGAAAAATCATTGTTTAAATCTGCTACGACGTTTATTGCTATGTATTATAGTCATCGATATTATATACAATATAAAACGCTTCTGTATAATGTTTTAAATTTCGCTACAACTTGACAAAAAAAAAAAATAAAAAAACTACTAAATAATTAGCCCATAACTTTCTCAATCTGAAGGATATGAATGTCAACCTTAGAAACACATGTTTGCGACAAAAATAGTTTTGAAAATACTGCTACGGCTAACGGCAGTACATATGTATACTAAAATTGAAACGATACAGAGAAGGTTACCTAGGAAAATAAAGAAAATTTCTTATCAGGGTCAGAATATATAAAAATGCAAATTTCAGACGTCTATATATTCAATAAAACACGAGATAAATAAAAAATTCCCGTAAAAATTTTAAAAAAAAGTCACCCGATCGTCACCATAATTGGATCAATTCATTAGACAACTAAACAAACTGGTAAAATAAATTAAAAATAAGAGTAACTTATTTACTCTGATTACTCTGATTTTCTCTTATTTATAAACTGGGGAAATTGTGAAATTCTAGAGAAAATTCTAATCCGCGTTGGCGCTATCGACAGACATATAATTGCACAGACAAACACACGTGTACACAGACAAGATTCTCTTGGCTTTCTGTTTTCGATAAGAATAATTCATATGGTCTTACTCCAATGTCGATATGCTAATTCAATATTTTTTAGTGAACCGTAGCTTTTTCATTTAGGAAGCAAAATATTTATACAATATACCGAGTGATCCAAATATTTTCTATTTATTTGTTTGTACAATATTATAAAATTACCATGTATTAACTTTTTTTAGTATTTTCTAGAGCGCGATCAACTTTTGAAAACATAAATATTTAATTAACTTTTTTTAAATCAGAATAATTTGCTGAAAAATGTTGACTGGTCGTTAACCAGTTTTAAAAGTTATTAGAATTTAGGACAATAGGCGGAGTGCGATTAAATAACTCACGAAAATAAAAAAAATACTACATTCCACCCTTATTCCAGTCCTAAACTTTAACAACTTAAAAAGTAATTATTCAAAACAGGTCATCGACAAGCTAAAATTAAAATTGTCAGCAACTTTTTTTTTTTAGCTTTTGAACAGTTTTAATTCTAGTTTCTTAGTAGTTTAAACATAACAAAAATACTTTAATCTATTGTCTTTTATAAAGTATAGTAATTACAATTATACAGAAAACAAACCGCTAGCCGATGCTATGTAGGTACATCTTTATAAATTTTGATTAATCACTAGAGTTTTAATTGTTGGTAACAAAATAACAGTCAAATATCAATAATTAGAATATAATATTTTATATCAGTGAAAATTATTTATTTATGTACCTATTTATCTTTTGTATTGTATGTAAAAAACCGAAAGGATAAAGAGGACGAATCCAAATATAATTGCTTATTTTCTTATAAGAAGTATTTTCAAATGTAAATTATTTGAGCCGTTTATCGTATTATTATAGATTATAGATATTATTAAACATAGATATTGAAAAACTATGTTTCAACTTTCACCCCTTTGTCGACTGTCGAGTCAAAATAGTATAATAATGTATTGTTATTATATTATAAATAACGCTTTGTAATGTTCGGGTAACGTCGTTAATGATATTATAGAAATGTAATTAATAACGACCGTGCATTTCAATGGGAATGAACACCCTGAAGTATTTCCAATGAAACGGTAATCGATTAAAAATAAAATCCTGCGATTTGCGGCCGGATAATTTCAATAATATACACTTATTATAACGATACACTATTAATACATGCTGTACCATACACATGACCTATAGACTGATTACGTCATTGTGTGAGTTTATTGTTGATTTTTTTTTTATTGTCAATGAAAATATACACTTTTATATACGCCGCGCAGATCTGCCATGGTGTATTGAGCAAACACAAAATAAACGTTAAAATCGTGACGTAAAAAGGTATAGTAATATATACATAACATATATATATATATATATATATATGTACATAAACATATTACTGTTTTTTTTTTTATACCTACCTACACCTTTTATTAGGTGCTATACCGAGCACGCGATTACACACACACGTCACACAGCAAAATAAATGCGCCCTTTTTGTCTGCGCGGTGTATTTTCTAACGTCAGCATGGGTAAGATTATGATATTATATTTTTTTATTTATCACGGACAGTAAGAACCCAAAAAAGTTACAGACTACTTAAAGCCTAACGGCTAAAATTATAAAACATAAATATTTAATTGAGGTGCTGTACTTACAAATAGACATCAAAGCGTTTTTTGAAAGTGATTTTATTCAATTTTATCACTTTTTTTTATAATAATTCCTGAAGGCCGTGACTTCTCCGCCCTCTCGGATAAAATAAATTTCAAATAAACGCTTTGATGCTTATTTGTAAATACAGCACCCCAATTAAATATTTTCTAACTTTGCTGGCTTACACTGTGCTTGGTTTGGACTGTACTGGCTTGAAAATACTAACTACTGATTTGCATCGATGCGTTTTTCGAAAGTGATTTATTTTCAGTATGCTTAAACATGTAGAGATGAAAAATAATTTTTTAGGATGCTGTGATAGTTTAAATAATAAATTAACCATTGAAATAGAGTCCTAGTTATTGAACTAATAATTACACATCACAGTTTAACCTTTACATTAAGATTATGTAAACAATTGCCTATACTTTACTCCTTAAAAATGGGCGCTGCGACGCCCTCTTTAAAAATGAGTAAGTTTTTTTTTGTTTTTTCAAATTTTGAATTCGAAGAAGAAATTTTTTTCAACTTTTACTTCGAGCTTGCTACTTAGAGTTGCTACTCTAAGAAATTGGTGCAGTATTAAAAAAGTTCAGTGTCGGTTGATCGGTTTATTGGCAACATTCACCTGTTTAGTTATTTTGGATAAATTTAATCATTCGTTTAATTGTGCTCCTTGTGAAATTATATTCGTTTATTAGGATGAATATTTTGTTACAAAATTAAAAAAATATCAATATATTATGGATTTGTACCTTTCATAGTTAACATAAATATTATAAATGTATATCAATTTATCAATTTCAGAGCGTCGGACTAGACATTCATCAATTAGAACTGTTGCAAACCATATATAAACCTTACAAAATGACTATCAATGGAGTCAAGCAGGAGGAAATCAGACGAGTTGTGGAAAATACTTTTGGAATGGAATGGGACGTTCCTGGAAATACTTTTAAATTTTTTTCTGGTAACATATTGATAATCAATCAAATTACCTATTTTTCG